TGCTGTTCATAGTAAGGCCAAGTTAGCAGCAAAATCAGTCGCATTCAGTTCCTGCCAAGGAAAAAGTCAGCAAAGCATGGTCATGGAAACTGGATCAATTTTCTTTTGCTAATAAAAATGGCTTTTCAACTTTTCACAGCGATGTACAGTTTAGCACCCGCCACCGATGCTTTTGAATTCACACAATTTTACATTTCCTACCATTCATTCTTTTCCCCTGCTCTTTCTCTCTCTTTTATTTGGATACCTCTGACTGTGTCCAAACCAGTGCCCATGGTAGTGGTACAGTCCCACAGCAGCACAAAGCTCAGCTGGATGGATGCCAGTGCCCCTTTTTGAACAGAAGCCTGCAGGAGGCAACCACATTGCAAGGCACCACTGCAGGCCCACCAGAGCTTACCCCCACTACTCAGGATAGACGCAACCTCTGAGCATCAGAGCCATTTCCAGCTGGCAGGCAAAAAAACTGCCTTCTTTTTTATGCTCACACCATTACTTACCTATAAAAGGGACTCTTATTTTTTCTGCCAACTCATTCCTAGAGATTAGTATCGGTATCTTGGGACGCTCATTTGCTCTGTAAAAATTAGGTTTTTAAATAGACTGAAGCAGAAATCTCACTTTTATTGCACTGCCCTGATACAGTAGAGACCAGTTATTAGAACAAATTGTAGCAAGCCGCTTCCTGGTTGTTATACCCACATAATTACTACAGGCTGCTACATGAAACCCTGCTTCACTCTTATGCTTAGAGGCGAGATCTCCATTTTGCAAGGACAGAGCAAGTTCTATTATGCATTTTACTGCCAAAGGAGGTCAATTAACTTTAATTGGTTCTAATTAGCACTTGCTCAAGCTGTTATATTCTTTACCTGCATCCGAGTGGCTCTCCAAGTGCTGCACAATGGATTCCTGCTTATGAACACAAAGGAGAATTACTAATGGCATCCTCGAAGGCAAAAGATGCACTGATCAGCATAAATGGGGAACAAATATCAGCACAAATAGTAGCAGGCCTTTTTAGAAAAAGAAAAAAAACAACAACCACAAACATTTCATCCCCATCTGGCTTTGATCAATTGAGCTGAATGCAACTGTGCACCTTGTTGTTTAAAGTTAGAACAACCAAAGTACACAAATGCAATTTTTCTCTACCATAACTTCTTTACACCTGAGAGATAAGTACTGGAAAATGCAGGGGGTAAAGGGGTGGAGGGAGAGTGTAGCAGGTCTGAAAAAAACCAAATAGATAATTTCAATGGTAGCAAAAACAAAATGCCAAGAAAAAGAAAAAAAATCATCAAGAGTATACCTGAAATGCTCTATTTTCTAGGATTTTTGAGGATTGTTTTAAAAGATCTGTTTAAGTGAAAGGTTTAGTTTTGCTTTTGTTTGGTTGGTTGGTTGGTTTGTTTGGGTTTTTTTTCCCATTCTGCTGCAGCGAGAGGAACAACCTCACTTGCCTAAATGTCACTGTAAGCCATTTGAGTCCTCAGGATGTGGCGATAAGCTGGCACCCAACTCAGGATTGTCTACGGCAGACTGAATGCCAGAAGAGATGCTGCAACTCTGAGCTGTGCTCTAGGAACTTGTTTACTGCTGTGGTCCTCCTGGATGTAGCTACACAGTTAGACAAACTCAGGCTAGAGAGGAATCTAGTCCTCACATCAAGAGTAGAACCCAGAGCTGGCTCTCCCCAGATAACCAGTCCACCTTCACAGCACACAGGCATGGCCCTACTTCTCCTCTGGGTCCCATGACATATCTCTGAGTTGTATCTGTTATTTTGGGTGAGGAGCACTGTCAGGCAAAGGTCAGTCCTAAAGAGAAGCAGGGAACATGCTACATACAGCAGAGTTTGGTAGCACTGCTCTGCTGTGTTCCACTGCTCAGCACTGAGACCGTGGCAGGACTGGGCAGGATGTCCCAAAATGTGCGACGTGCCTGACGAAAAGGTCCCCGTGCAAACCACCACAGTGCCTAACTCATCAAAGACCTTCCCTGCCCTGAAAAAATTCCATCCTCAGGGAAGTGACCTGCCTCTACACACGGGGTGCCTGGGATCTACTAAAAGCCACCGAGACTAAAGCCACGTGGCTGGAGACTTTCTGAGGTGTCTCAGGGCACAGAGTGGCCAGGGGTGGGGCTTTGTACAACCCTTAACACATATTTCAAACAAAGTTCTAGAATTAGTGTCCCAAGGATCTAGGCCTCTATGGACTTTGGATAATTTGTTTTGGTATGGAAACCAAAAGCAATGGAGTTTATGCATATTAGTGTACCGTTCAAAATTACATGTGAAACTGTGGTGGACTCGGCTGATTCTAAGCCAGTGTATGTGTTCCCTATTTTAGTAGTACTTTTTGCCATTTTCCTGCTATTTGAATGTACCTCCTAAATAAAATGTCTGCTGCCCACATGGTTTTCAAAAATAATTTATTTTTTTAGCTAATGTGTTCCAGAGAGAGGGAACACAAAACATGTGTTAAAAAACAAAAATGAAATTAAAAAATCCTCCCCTTGGCAAACAAGTTTCCCCGATATCTTTACAAAAGAAGGCCAGCTTTTTTTCTTCCTACTTCCCCTGCTAAATCTTCACAAGGCCATTAATCATAAAAAAACCCCCAAACTGCATATATTGAAGATAAGTCAAAGGAGCTGCCAGTATTTTTGTTTTTAAAAAAAGTTCCTGCCAAAATCTCCCCCAGCCCGATTACCTTTCCTCTGTCAGTTGTGAGGGCTCTTTTTCAGCCCTAGTACACACCTTTTCTCCTGGTTGGCAAGGTATGGACTGAGACAAGCATAAACCAGCATATAGTTATTTCAAACAGTCATGTCTTGCTTTTGCATTGGTGTATAGTGAAATTAATACACTTAAAACATTCCATGCACCTTATTTTTTTGGACTTTTCCCAAGGAACGGTGTTTCTGTTGCATTTCAGGTGACAACCAAAAGGTATTCAAAAGGTTTACTGACTTGGAAAGGACTTGAGAAATAATAATAAAAAAAAAAAAACCAAAACCAAGAAATGTCTGTTCTTTGCATCACTGAAATGGTTGCCTATACAGCAATACACCACTGAAGCACATGTAACCATTTATTATTTGGTCCTTCAGCAAAGACTGAGAAAAAATTGACCTGGCATCTCTTTGCCATTTGGGAATGTTCTGTACTGGGTTGGCAGAAGCTCCACCAGTACAAAACCCCAATTCCAAGGGTTCAGGCCCAGGGAATGCAGGTTTTACACATCCACTGCTTTATGGGCCTTAAGCAAAGTAAGCTGAGCACTTGGGTCCTTGCTGGACATCGAGAGCGCACACGTGTACAAACGGAGGATGTTTGCTAGAATAGCCGGAGCAGTGTAATTACCCTGGTCCAGCTATTCCCAGTATAGACAGGACATTAAACAGAAACCCCTATGACAGGCAATGTTTACCACTGGCCTATTTATAACACTCTTAGCTTAGTTCAAAAACCAGCACATAAAACGTTCCTCGTCACCTGTAAGTGGACAGTGATGATTATAGCTCAGTCTATGTTATTATTGCCTGATTTTCCCAGTTTGGCTTTTCACATATTGACTCCTTACTCAAGGTCTTTTAACATAGATTTGAAATGTGAATATGTTTTATTTTTTCCCCAGTAAATATACAATACACACTTCAACAGTACTAATAACCAACTTCTTATGCCAATTAAACTTTGCTGCACTAACAATACCAATGAAACACATTAAGAGGTCATACTTTTTCGTGAACAAACTGTAGCCAATAAACAGGTTTTTTTAAAAAAAACAAATTAAAAAACAATTCTAAGTGCTGCCACAACAACCCTTTTCTTTAAACACATTATTCACAATAAATGTTTTCATTTTTTTTAAAAAAAGAAGAATACTTCTTTTAAAATAGTAAATTAAATGGCATTTTAAAAAATATGTACTGTGGTTCATTGGAAGTACACTGTATAGAAAAGAGAGAGAGAAAAAAAAGAAGAGACATCACCTGTAAGATAATGGAGACACTTTGCCATACACAACAACACCTTATGTAATATTGTAAGCAAATTATTAATGAACAAAAATGTACAGAAGCAGATGGACAAGTTAGTGAATATCATGGTACTGCACAGCTTTAATACTGACACACATTTACTTTCCAGCGGAAGAGATAAAACACATATTTGAAAGTAATTGGGATGGCTTTATCAACCTCTAATGATACTGAATTTTGAATAGAATATAGTTAGTAAGGTGTTCCACCAAAGCTCAGCACAAGTTTTTGAATTAAAAGGAAAAAAATCAATCCGTGACTGAGTTAAACATTTTCCAGAGAATTAAATTTGAATTGTACTCTGAATAGTCATCTCTTTATATGATAATATCAAAATAAAACCAAATATATGTAATTATGATGCATTCTTTATCTTACTTGAACATTTTTAAGCAATGTTTTTAACTGTAGTGTTTTAACACGCAGGAAAATGACATATACTCATTGGTCACATATATAAATAAATTCATACATTTTTTTTCTCAAGTTTTTTTGTTTGTAACCTGCTAAATAACACATCTTGACTTAAGGAAGTTAACTAACTTTTTTTAAATACTCAGAAGTGCTGAGTTATAGTTGATGGTTGTAGTGTTTTATCTTATCATGGAACAAGTTAATGAAATGAAAAGCAACACATATTCAGCATTGTAATTTACTTTTCTAAAATTCTGCCATTACTAAAAGTGTTCTTAATACTGGTGAGCTCCAAGGCAATATATAAAACAACATAGACTGGTTATATGAAAAAGGTATTCAATGGAAACTTATGTTCATGATCAGATAACTAACAGAAATAAGCTGTAAGATTTAATATTTAAATTAAGCATCAAAGCAATGGGTGGGCTATCCACATATAATATTCTAAGAAAAGCTTGACAATTTACTCATTGAGATTTGAGAAGTACAGAAGATTTGGACAAAGTCATGAAAATTAATGAAGAGACAGGATGTTGTCATTAATGTCCACTTACAGAGTCTGGTTTATTCAAAAAGTGTATAAACATGTGTTATTTCCTCATCATAGTAGGGTTTGAAGCCACTCACTAAAACACAGGTCAAAGATTTTCTTTGCTTGTATCCAGCTTTTGGATGTAGTGTATTGCCAGAAGTATATTTAATGGAAGTCGAAAATAGTTTGACTGTTGCTTTCCTTCCAAACACTAAACACTTTACTACAAATTTAGTGGATCCAACTTCAACTCTTGCAGACTTCAAGTAACAGAACAGAAAGGGTTGTGTAGACTGCATCAAAACAATTAATGTCATGAATTTCAGTGGTGCAGCTCTATCTTCTATTCTACTGTACATGTATTGGAAAGATGAAATAAGATACTCTGACATTTCAATTTTTTGGAAGCAGCCTGAATATGTCTTAACAATAAATTGCATTCTTAACTTCTTGGTGGGTATTCCTTGCGTTCATATTGGTTTTTTTCTCCTGGAAAATCTCTGTCTTACATTTTGGGCTGGAGAAATTAACGGTAATAATTCCTTTAAAACTGCAATATAAAAACAGCTTTAGTGAAACACCTTAAGTTCTTTTGTTTGTAGCAAGGTTTGTTTTTCTTCCCCTTTACTTAGTGGCATGGGATGGCTAAAAACAGATACTAAGGGCATCATTCTAGTGAAAGGGTCTAGGCCATCTCATGCTACCTCTAATTTTCATATTCGCCCTTTAACCTCACACTTCCAACTTTTGACCCCTTCTTAAATAGGAAGAGCAACTATGTTGCTTGCTTTTAAAAGATTTAAATCTGTCTCTAATGTCTTCACTGACATTAGTTTTGCCTGTCACTTTCTCATTTCTACACCCCAATGGAAAACCACCTAACATACTCCTTTACATCCAGCGTTATCCAAAGTAGCTTACAGGACATAAACCTTCTCCACACATTCAGTCTCTTTTTTTTCTTCATGTCATGAGGAGTAGAGTTTTGTGCTTATCACCAAATAAAATTGCAGTGCAAACTTTAAACATAAAAGTTACACAATTAAAAGTTAATATATGGCACCACAGCCTATTAATTCACATATAGTACAACAGACCAGTAAAAACAGACATGAATATGAACATAGCTAAAAAGAAGGTGAGCTTGCATAGCAATGCAACAAAAGAAATTATATACAGAAGGAAATCCTTTTCATCCTGGAGGGTGATTTTTTTTTTCTTTCTTTTTTATATACTCCTGACAAGGAATAGTTTAAGGTGGATGGTGTGTTAAAGAGAAGAACACAAGTAAAGAATCTGTGGGATATGTGTGGCTGTGTGTCTTTACATTGCATTTACAGTTCTTTTAATAGTACATAAATAAAGAAAATGTTCATTGCACTGTTTAGTGTCATCACTTCCATGAGTTCAGACCTGATGGTCCATCAGAGCAGCTTGCAATGTGTCTTCTCAACTACTCTATAGAGAGAAACAAAAAGAGAAAGAGGTTGTAATAAGAGAAAAAAAAAACCACAAAACAAAGCCTATGGCAATATTACTGCAGTACAGGATGAATATTCAACAGGTTGTGTGAAGAGAGGTAATTGCTTCTAAGAGGAAAAGCAATGAATGCTAAAATTCAGCACTTACCAACACCATATCTGAGACTGCACATTCCAGGGTTTGTGGATCCCCTCTTACAAGCTACTGGGCAATAACTGTCAGGAGGAACTGAGGGTTTGACTGCAGCCATAGGATGCAGACATGCCAACAGCCCCAACTCCTTTTATCAGTAAACACACCAGTATGCCCGAGCTTGCTGGGAAGTTGATGTTCTACTTCAAACACCAGAGTGAAACCTTTGGGTATCTGGTACTGCCATCACATACACAGCATCAACACAAAGCTTAACGGACAACGACTGACAATAGAAAAAAGTTTGGGAAATAATTTCCCTGTCCTGGGATGCTGAGGAAAAGAGTTGAGATATGCAACTCAAAAAAAACGGGCCACACAATCAAGAAAAGAAGACCTCCATCTAAGAGAATACTGCTCATCAGGTGTCAGGAAGTTAAGGAGAAGGCATCACCATGACCAAAAAAAATCAGCACCCTTTTCATTCACTCTGAGAAAAAACAGTCAATGGCATTTCCAAGACAAGCACGTTACACTTTGCCAAGAAAATTCCTAATTACTAGAATTTCTCTTCAGTTTTCTCTGTGCTTCACTAGCATTACACACTGAAAGACATACTGCGTAGATAACATTGTCATGAACTGGTCCAAACCAAAGAACAGAAGAACATAATTTATTTGTCACCTCAGATGGCAGAAATATCTGGGTAAAATTTAACCTGATTATCACACACAACTTCCTACTCTCTTCACAGCAGACCTGTAATTTTTCTCTTTTTGTCTATTTGAGAGTTTTAACTGTAGCTAGAGATAAACTTACATAATTCACCAGTAAACTGTCCTTGACTGTTTGATCCCACATAGCCTATATCGAGAAGGTCACTGGCATTGCGTTGGTGACCTCCTCGCAAGACTTCACCTTTTCTAGGTCCAGTCGATCCTTTAGAAGAAGATGTTCCTGAAGAGCTGTGGCCACCAGGGGATGGGAAGTTGGGTTTACTATATGGTACGAGTGCCTCTTCTAGAAAAGCAAAACAAAACCAAAACAAAGTAAATACCAGCGAATTCCTAGAAATAGGAATAAACAAGCCATTCATTTATGGACATCATATTCATTCCTGCCCTCATGAATCTGTTTTGCTTTTTATGGCACGACAATTTTACCTAGGAAAATACACAACTAAGAGTTGTGTCTCAAGGATGGAGAAGCCAGCATGAATTATTCTTGTTTCCTTGTAAACTCATAAGTCAGTTTGTATTAATTATAAAAAGTCTAGATTCATTATGAAGTAATAAATCATAGATACTTTAATAAAAATAGATGCACATGCAATTTCCAAAACAATGCAGCTATGATTAGATTTTTGCTTCAAGCCCACATGAATGTGCTTTTTCCTTTTCTTTAGCTTAAATTATGGCAACATTACCTCAATCAGTTTAGATAAAGAACTACAATATCAGCTAATTTAATTAGCTTCCAGCAACTCAGTAATTTCTAACGATGCAAAGTACACTAACAATTTTTTTTAACTAGTGGTGAATCACATTGGAAAATGTTATATTACACATAACAGTTGTAATATTTGGGCTGAATAAATCATCTTGCAGCTTGTTTTATGTTCCATTATGAGCAAAAGGCTTACTTTTGCTCACTTGGCTTCTTTTTCAGTGAAGACCTGTAATAATGAACTGCTTGCAAGAGCAGGATTAATAGCAATAAAGCATAAGACTGCATGTCTTCATATAGCATGAAGTAAAATAAGACATCACTTCTGATTAGAGTTTCCAGGAGATATTGTTGTAATAATCCCAGCCTAAGAAGCAAAACAGCAGCACTGATTTAGCACTGAAATAGAAGCACTGTTTTATTTCTTTGCTGTGTATGATCTCTTTTCGCCATCTCAGAAGCTGAAGAAAGAGATCTTCCTAAATATAGTTTGGTTCAAGAAAGAATATAAGTATATATCCTTAACCTCAAACACAGCAACTGCCCCTTCTGAAATCGGTGGGATATCTCCTGCCTGAATCTTACTTTTTTTTTTTTTCAAGTGGATCTAGGCCAAAAGGGTTTTCTTCATTTTGCTTTTCCCATTGTCTTCACTCTTAAATAACCCGATGAGGAGAAACGGACTTTTTTTTGACAGAGGGCAGGAACACAGATGGAAAAGTAGGTGGGGATGGTTGGAAAGAAAGAGGAGATAAAAATGCTTTGATTCACGAGCTTGAAGCCTTAGCAAAGGCTGCAGCAGAGGCACAATTAACTTAAGAGAAATGCTAAATGAGAATGAATTTGTGGAAGAAACCCAGGATTTCATTCTTTGTGCCTGCTGCCACAAGTGAGTAGGACATGGGGATTCCCCATGTGATCTGTTATTAACAGAGCCTGTTTGCAAGGTAAATCTGTTGCAGAGAAAGGCAGGCAGCTGAATTCTTTCCCTGCCAAAGTATCTCACTCTGGCCCTGCCCAAGGGACCAGAATATTTGTGCTGGGGGACATAAGGGCATTATCAATGTTTTGTGCTATGACCGTGTGGTGTCCTTGCTGAAATACAAAGAAATACCCAAAAGACATGGTAAAATGGCATTTAACAGCCATAGTCTCCTAAATTATGTTACTTGTTCCTTATATATCAAAGCCCAACAATAGAATCAGATGCAAACCTGGTTTCCAAAGGCTGGCTAAAATATGGAATGGCTTGCATTAAGGCAGTAATAAAGCAAGCAGCATAAATCAGTTTAGCAGAAAGCTGGATACATTTTTAAAGGATGAAAAGAAAAGTCACTAGCATTGCAAAAGAGTTGGAAGATGACATATATGGTCAATTGATTTGTTTTTCTAGTTTGTGGACTCTGGATAAGGCCTCCTTTGGGTTCAATGAAATATTGAGAGGAAACGAGAATGAATAAATATAAAGTCCATTATCATTATAGAGCATATGGTGTGTTAAATTATCTATTGTGCCCTCAGAAATAAATATAATCCATAAAATAAGTAATTGTGACATAAAATAAAGGCTAAGTTTTTCACAACATTCTAGCACATGAAAGGTAGTTGTCTCAAGTCCTGAGAATGGACTCACATTCATTAAACACTCAAAACAGTGCCCCACGCCCTAGACTTGCAAAGAATATGGGGAGCCTTTGCCAATGCCTCTCTTTGAATTTCTGAGCCTTTAATTTGAAGACATAATTCTAGCCCCCATGAAATCAAGATAAATGTGTGTAACAATGTTTCCAGGCCCCATAAAATAACCAAAAGGCTTTTCATATTATCAAAACTATTGTAACCTGATCTAGCACTACTCTCTTTAGAGGGACAGACGAGGATGTCATATTTGATGTGCTGTAACTGTGCTTCCACAATGAAGCCACTGGCAGGAACCCAGTGATCTTGTTTATACTGAAAGCAACCAGGGGAAACACGGTTCCCAGACTTGAGCATTTTTATTCTATTCAACTTCAAACTAAAGGTCTTGCTTTCAAAATTTCACTCACAGTTTGGTAACATCTGAATGAAACCCCCTAAGCTGCAAATTAGCTATTTTCTGGAAGCTGATAGCTAATAATAACTCCTTTTGGAAATGTATTGAAAAGTGGGACAGGATAGATTTCCAGAGATCTATGCCATTAATAAAGGAAAAGGGAAGAAGCACAATTACTAATATAATTAACCCCCCCCCAAGTTTAGTAATAGGAACAGGCATCATGCACAAGAGTAGCCTTTTTTAAATCTAGCAGAGACAAGAATACAGAGCAAGAAACTGTAGTGCCAGAGAAGGCAGACAGATAGATATAAAGCTCTGGCCCACTCTGAGCACAAACTTTATGAACTCCTCACACCAGGGTAAATCCATAATATCTCCTAGAGGAATCATTATTTTATGCATAAAAGATATGCACTTGCTCTCATCATCCTGAATTTGACAAGAACAAGATACCTGTAATCACTTCAGTCCTAAATTCAATGCTTATGTAGGTCACTGGAAGTGGCAAGATCGAGTTCTCTTTATTTATGGATAGATAAATGCATGTCCTGCAGGATGGGAATTTTATTACTGTATAAGCTCTGCATCACAGAATAACTGACAACTTCTATTTGTACACTTGTGAAGCAGTGGAAAAAGAAGGGAATTCTTGCTAAGCAGGTCAGAGAAGCTTCCTTAATAATAATTTACACAGAAATAAGAAGTGTAAAGTATATTCAGGCTATTTTTTTTACATGTTTGTACATCTCGTACATTGCAATTAAAATTGCCATTTCACCAAACAGCAAGAATTTCACACATTATTTTTAAACTGCGACTTCAAGATTTCACAACATGCACAACCACTCACTTGTTTATGCAGCTGAAAGATTAGAGGTTTTTAACAGTATCACTATGGTTATATTTTAAAGTATGCTTGTATTTAAAATAGTTACATTTTAAATATTGGTAGCAATATTTCCCAGGAGTACTTTATTCAGTAAATCCTGCCCCCATGATAGATTTACTTGCATATTACTAATTTTATTTCTGGAGTGTCAGTGATACTAGTGGTCTAGATTAACAAGGAGCATTAATAGGAGAATAAAATCAAGAAAAATATGGATTATAAGAGTACCTGCAGTGTGACAGTGGGAGTCACATATATACTTGAAGAAACAGCATAACCCTACAGAAAACTCCACATACAGTATAATTTTTTGTTTAAATCTTCTTAATTGTCCTCTTGTATTACTCTAATCAGCACTGCACTGGTATGCCATGCGACTAGTGGGTTAAAGGAAATACCCTAGTTTGAGGGTAAAAGCTGGAAGAGAAGCTTTTACTTGAGGTCAGGCTGAGAGAAGGAAGCTGCAAATATTGTAAAACTACAACTCCAGCCCAGCATCACCTCCTGTGCACATTTTTACAGACCTGAAATCCATTTAAGAGATAAAGTCAGCCCGCGGCAATGTGCAGGTCCGGTATGAAGGTGAAAGCCTGCTCTGTCATCTTGCTGGGCCTAAGAGATGAGTGTTACTTTGTCATATCCTTGAAGAAGAAGATGGTGCTTTAAATACAGCTGGAGGGAATGTCAGTAGCTCAGAAGAATCGGCCTTCTTTTGGACAGGCAAAAACACCTGCTGCCAATTTGGAAGAAGGTTCAAAGAACTAGAAAATACAGCCTTGTATTTATAAGTAAATACATCTACCAGAAGATACTTTAAAAATCTCTTTCTCCCTCTGTGCTGGCCTGAAACCACTCCTGTTTTCTCCACTGCTATGCTTGACAACAATATTAATTGCCAAAGCACTGTAAAGAATGCCCTGAATAAGGTGTTAATGATATTTCACGGTTGCAGAAGGGAAAATAGTTGGATCACAAGCTCTCCCTTCACTTTGCCTTTTCTTGTTTTCCAGCCTAAGCCTCACCAGTGTGAGGTGTGAGGTGATCCTGGACTCCTGCCAGGTACAGAAAACCCTCAGCAGAGTGTCAAGAAGCCGCCTGCCTTGCCTCGGCCGGTGCAGCGCACACACACCTGATCCGAAGGCTTGTTTGTGTTGGGCTTTCCTGAAATCCTCTTGGCGGTCTGTAGAGCTTATCCACTCCTGGGTTTGCCGCTGCCACTCTAGAGATGTCCTAGCTTGCCGGTCCAGGGAGCTCTTTGTCTCATCTACGTTCGGTGCATGCTGCCTCTCAAGAGAGCTTCCTTTCCTCTCTGCCGAGCCTCCGCGCTGGCCGGGGACTATGGGCTGCCTTAAACCCTGACCAGGGGGCGGGTCGGGTGGTGGTGGAAGATCTAAAAAACGTGAATAAGATTTAGATGAACTAAATTTTTTTTCTTTTTCATTGAAACAGAAGGTCTATTTGATGCTGAAAAAAGAAAAGTCCCCTGCAACCGGCATGAATCGCTCCATTCGTCGATTTTTAAAAGGAAGGAATTTCATGTTAATCAGAAAAGTGGGTTTGTATTCTGCTAGCTCTTTATTCAGGTTACTATGTTGCTAGCTCTTTCTAGCTTCCATAAAAATTGATAGGCTCTCATCCCTGACTTAC